AAAAGGTCTCCATCTCATGAGACATACTTTGGGAACCCTGACTCAACTAGTGTAAAAGGATCCCATTGGGAAGACGGACTCAACTAGTGTTAAAACTTCCATCTAATATTCAATATCCACTCAGTGCTAAGCATTAATTCCCACGAAGCACATATTAAGTCTTGACTTAATTCATATTCATGCTTAATTCATAAGATAGCTCTTAGATCATGCGTGAGAATAACCTTTCACCGTCCATGTCTACATATAGGTTAAATAGGTGAGAAAGCCTTTCAACCTTAGAACCTTCATATTGTGATAAAACCTATCACATCATATCATATCATATCATATTCATGCATAAGTGTGTATATGAGAATATCCTTTCATCAACACAACAACTTACATCATAATCATAGACACTTCACTCTCAAAGTGTTCTTAAAACATATACATAGATTCCTTAACATATATCATTCTCATACTTTACCCTTTCAAGGTTTAACGCTCATAAAATCAACACATCTAGAATTCAATATATTCGACATTGATATCATCACAATTCAAGTAACCCAGTCACTACATGCATAATTTCATAATATTTTTCTTTCTTAAAAAAAGACCCACTTCACAAATTACAATTGAGTACTATAGGGATTTCATGGGTTCTTGGGGATTCATCATAATAACCATAGGAAATCATCAATTGATACTTAATATAACACAATTCAATCATTTGAATCGATTTTGAAAGGAACCCATGACTTTGGAATCAAACTCTAAATTTTGGGGATTTCTATCTTTAAAATTGGGATTTTGAAGGGACTCCATGAATAAAAGACTACCATACCTTGATCACAAAGCCCTATGAATTTGGTGTGAAAAAGTGTTGCTTCTTGAACCCTAGCTTCTCTCCTCCCCCTCCTCCTCCTCCTCCTCTTCCTCCTCCTCCTCCTCCTCCTCCTCCTCCTCCTTCTTCTTCTTCTTCTTCTTCTTATTCTCCTTCTTCTTCTTCTCCTTATTCTTCTTCTTCTTCTTCTTCTTCTTCTTCTTCTTCTTCTCCTTGGGAATTGATTTGGGTTTTGGAAATAATGAGTTGAATAGGTTGGTTTTTGAGTAAAAATGACATCTATAATGACCCTAAGTTAAGGCAAAATGAACTAACTTAAGATGGACTAAAATCGGAATTACCTAAAACACCGTTCACTTTAAGTGAGCTTCCAGGTCTCACGTAGGGCCCCACAAGATGTGGTCATGACCATGAGCCATGGTCCCTTTCATGGACTTGAGGCAGTGGTTAGGCAACAAGTGCCTTTAGCCCACAAGCCCAAGGTATCTTAACGAGAGGTTCCACGAGCCATGGTACTTGCCATGAGCCATGGTCCCTCTCATAGGCCTTGAGGTAGTGGCTTGCCACTTCCTTTCCACCCTCTCACAACCAAATTTCCTCCACGAGCCTTTCCACGAGCATGTCTTTCACCATGAGACGTGAACTGGCTCGTGAAGAGGGGCAGATTTTTGGCAGATTTGGGGAGGCTACTACCTAGCCCACCACGAGCCCTCCCACGTGCCATGGTCTTGACCACGATTCGTAGTGGTGGGTGTGGTAGGTGGGGAAGTGCCTACAACAATGTAGGTTGCCTTAGCCTTGTCCCTTGCCCTTCTTCCTTGACTATAACCCTCACATTTAGCTCTAGTTTTGCCTACTAGTGTACGGGATGTTACAATATCTCTCCCTTGGGATCATTCGTCCTCGAATGACAATCTAGACACCTTACGGAAGTAAAGACTCAAGACTAGCAACCCATCATGCATGCAACATCATAATAATGCACAATTCAAAGGAGGAAACATCAACTCCAACTTAAACACACTCAATGCATCACAAGGAAGTAAGAACTACATCTAACAACCCATTATGCATGAAACATTTAAACATTTCTCATGGTTTAGGAGGAACTACCTTCTCCAAGCTAAAAGCATTCTCAACACAATCTCATGGAACCATTATGTCATTTACTCAAGAAAAGCATATACATATAAAACATGTTCATCAATTAATCTCATGAAGCAGATAGACAATTCGTACTCAATGCACAACATCATGAGGAACATCAATCATATAAAACTCAATTTCTTACTAAACATAAATTTCTCAAGAACATGCATAACGTAGGGGAAATCATTGATAAACTCACATAATAGACATGACTCCCAAAACAAGGAAACTCAAGAGGAACTACTTACCTTAAGCTAGAATAAGAGTAGAAGGAAAAAGATGAGGATATCGGGACTTCATATCGGCCTCAGGCTCCCAAGTAGCACCCTCAACTAAGTGATTTCTCCATAAAACCTTTACGTAATCTATTTCCTTGTTTCTCAATCTCTTGACTTACCGGTCTAGGATCTCTATCGGAACCTCTTCATATGAAAGACTTTCGTCAACTCCCAACCCTTTTAGGGGAATTATGGATGCTGGATCTCCAATACACTTCTTAAGCATAGAAACATGAAATACCGGATGAACCGAAGCTAACTCATTTGAAAAATTTAACTCATAGGCAACTTTACCAATACGTCTCAAAATTTTGTATTGGCCTCCATACCGGGACTAAGTTTCCCCTTCTTGCCAAACCTCGTCACACCCTTCATGGGTGAGATTTTTAGATAGACCCAATCATTAACCTTAAATTCTAGATCCCTTCTTCTCACATTGGCATAAGACTTTTGTCTACTTTGAGCCATTCTCAACCTCTCTCTAATGAGTTGAACTTTCTCAATGGCTTCATAAACTATCTCGGTACCTATTAAAGCAACTTCACCCACCTCAAACCAACCAACGGGAGACCTACATCTCCTACAATACAAGAGTTCAATGGGAGCCATACTGATACTTGAGTGATAGCTGTTATTGTAGGCAAACTTTATTAATGGCAAGTGGTCGTCCCAATTACCCTTGAAGTCTATTACACATGCCCTTAACATATCTTCCAATGATTGGATTGTACGCTCTTCTTTCCCATTCGTTTGGGGATGAAAAGTCATGCTAAGCTTAACCTTAGTGCCAAGACCTTTTTGGAATGACTTCCAAAAGTGAGAAGTAAATTGGGTACCCCGAACAGAAATAATGGATAAAGGAACCCCATGCAACTTCACCATTTCCCTTATGTATAGCTTAGCATAGTATTCCGCTGAAAAAGAAACCTTGACAGAAATAAAGTGAGCTGATTTTGTCATCTGATCTATAATGACCCAAATAGAATCATGTTGTCTCCAGATATGAGGCAAACGAACAATAGAGTCCATGTTTACATTTTCCCACTTTTAAGTGGGAATATCTATATCTTGGGGTAAGCCTTCCGACCTTTGATGCTCAATCTTAACTTGTTGACAGGAAACTTGGCCACAAATCCCGCAATATATTTCTTCATCCCATTCCACCAATAAACTTCTCGGATATCGCGGTACATCTTGGTGGCTCCCGGGTGAATAGAATACCGAGAACTATGGGCTTACTCTAAAAGTTGTTCCCTTAAATCCTCAACATTCGGAACACATAACCAACCTTGATACTTAAGCACCCCATCTCCACCTTAAGAGGAAGCCTCAACGGACTTCTTAAGTACCGCCTCTTTCAACTCAACTAGTATGGATCAAGACCTTGCTTAGACTTCACATCCATCACAAAGGACGATTCAGAACCATTATGGACTATGACACCACCCTTGGTTGAATCCACTAGTTGAACACACCTAGTCGGGCCAACCTATGCACATCACGAACCAACTCTTTCTTTTCATCCTCTACATGAGCCACACTACCCATGGACAATCTACTAAGAGCATCCACTACCCCATTAAATTTACCGGGGTGATAAAGGACACTTATATCATAATCCTTCAAGAGTTCTATCCACCTTCTTTGGCGAAGATTCAAGTCCCTTTGACTAACCAGATATTGTAGACACTTATGATCGGTGAAAACATCCACATGAAATTTTTAAGGAAAACACAATCGCCGCTAACTCAAGGTCATGGGTAGGATAATTCTTCTCATGGACTTTAAGTTGCCTTGAATTGCCTTGAAGCATAGGCAATCACATTAACATTTTGCATAAGCACATATCCCAACCCAACTCTAGAGGCATCAAAATACACCACAAAACCATTTGTACCTTCCGGTAAGGTCAACACCGGAGCGGAAGTAAGTCTATCTTTCAACTCTTGGAAACTTTTCTCACAAGCTTCCGACCACATGAACTTAGCCTTATTTTGAGTCAAAGCTGTCAAAGGAGAAACAATGGATGAAAATCCCTCAACAAACTTTCTATAGTAATCGGCCAAACCCAAAAAGCTTCTAACGTCGGAAGGAGTTAGAGGTCTAGGCCAACTCTTGACTGCATATGTCTTCTTAGGATCTACCTCAATCCCCTTGCTTGACACAATATGACCAAGGAAAGCTATGAACTTTAACAAAAATTCACACTTGCTAAACTTTGCAAAAAGTTGTTGGTCCTTAAGAACTTGCAACATAATTCTCAAATGGTCCACATGTTCATTCTCACTCCTGGAATAGATCAATTACGAACACAATTACGAACATATCAAAGTATTGTCTAAACATCCTATTCATCAATGCATAAATGTCGTCGGAGCATTCGTCAACCCAAACGACATTACCAAAAACTCATAATGACCATATCGGGTTTGAAAAATAGTCTTTGGAATATCATCCCTTCTCACCGTCAATTGGTGATAACCCGAACGAAGATCAATCTTAGAGAAATAACTAGCCCCTTAAAGTTGGTCAAACAAGTCATCAATTCTTGGAAGAGGATACTTGTTCTTAATGGTCACTTTGTTCAATTGACGATAATCAATACATATTCTAAGATACCCATCTTTCTTTCTAACAAACAACACCGGAGCACCCCATGGAGAGATACTCGGTCGAATGAAACCCTTATTTAACAAATCCTTTAGTCGCTCATTCAACTCTTTTAATTCCACCGGAGCCATTCTTTAAGGAGGAATAGAGATAGGTTGTGTATCCAGAAGAAGGCCAATACCAAAATCTATTTCCTGCTCGAGAGGAATACTGGGCAAAACATCGGGGAAAACTTCTGGGAACTCATTAACAACGGGAACCGACTCAAGTGAAGGGGTTTTAGAATCTACATCCCTCACCCTAACAACATGGTAAAAGCAACCTTTCGAGATCATCTTTCTAGCTTTAAGGTAGGACAAAAATTGACCTCTAGGCATAGAATTTCCCCCTTTCCAATCTAAGATAGGGTTATTCGGAAATTGGAATCTAACCACCTGAGTTCTACAATCAATAGAGGCATAACATGCATGCAACCAATCCATACCAAGAATCACATCAAAATTTAACATGTCAAGCTCTACCAAGTCAACAAGAGTAACTCTATGGGATAAGGAAATGGGACATCTTCTATAAATCTTCTTAGCCACCACTGAATCACCAACAAGAGTAGAGACAAATAAAGGTTCTATTAACAATTTTGGAGGAACATCAAACCTCATTGCCACATAGAGCGTCACAAAAGATAAAGTAGCACCGGGATCCAACAATGCATTCATATAAATATGAAAAACTTTTAAAATACTGGTCACTACATCCGAGGAACTTTGTTGTTCACCTCGTGTTTTGAGAGCATAGAAGCGGTTTTTCTTGGGAGCACTAGAGTTTGAACCGCTAAGAGGAGCTTGCTTGCCCTCTCTTCCTTGAACCTTAATCATCGCAGAATCTCTCATCTTGTTACCAATCTTTCCACAACCAAAGCAACCATCCGTGCCATCTAGGAACTTACCATCATGCTTCCTTCCACACTTTTCACAATTATGCCTAGTCACATAAGAGCCACTACCATTACTTCCTTAAGATTTAGGGTTGGACACCCTATCCTTGTTGACCCTTAGAGGAGCGCTAGAGGAACCTTAGTTGGAAAACCTTTGTCTAAACCTTGGTCGACCTTGTCCATCGGACCTAGTATTGGAGAAGTTTCCATCACCGGTCCTAGCTCTTTTCACCTCTCTATTATTTTCCTTGAGTTTCTCTCCCTCTATTTGTTGGGCATGCACCATGAGACGTGAAATATCCATATCTTGAACAAGCATTGCCGTACGACATTCTTTGACTACTATGTTGGACATTCCCATCACAAATTTATTCATCTTAGCCCTTGAATCCACCACCATAGTTGGAGCATACTTTGATAGTTGGGTGACTTTAGAGCATATTTCCTCACACTCATACCTCCTTGACGAAGGTTAATGAACTCTTGCATCTTAGGTTCTCTCAACTCAAGGGGGAAAAATCTATCAAGAAACTCTGATTTAAACATCTCCCACTCTACAGGACTCGCTCCTACCAACCTCCCCTCCTTCCATTGGTTATACCACAGTTGATCAACACCTTTTAATTGGTAAGAGGCTAACTCTGCCTTCTCTTTCGGAGTCACCCCCATAATAGAAAGTACCTTATAGACCTTGTCTATAAATTCTTAAGGATCTTCCTCAATTTTAGAGCCATTAAATTCTGGGGGTTTCATTCTTACAAAATCCCTCACTCTTGAAGCCGTCAAATTCACATTAGGATTCACTAGAGCTAAAACCTCTCTATTGGCTTGAGCCATCACGGCCTGAGACAATACTTGAAGAGTCGCCCTAAACTTCGCATGAGTAACATTCTCGACCAAAGGATCAACTGGAGCTTGATGAGCTTGAGGAGGATCTCCTTGTTCCATATTATCACCCTCCATCCTTCTAGCATTAACCCTTATAGTATTCATATCCTGAAGAACATAGGCAAGGATTATGAGAGATATCTTATAGAGTTAAACTCTATGGCACGACATAGATTCATGAAGAAGTGAAGTTTCCTAATCATGTTGTAGCCTATCATTCATAAATGTGGCGCGCTTCACACGTATGAATAAGACTCTACTAGACGTGGCTTATAAGACATCATCCTAGGATCATTCTAAACCTTGTGCTCTGATTACCAACTTTGTCACGACCCAGGGGTACCCCTTAGATGTAACACGACGTATAGAACCCCTAAGGACTCCATACAAGCCACTTAGTTCACATAAGATAAGAAATAGAACAATAAGAGTAAAGACACAATTCAAGTCTAAAAAGTTTCATAAAGGAAAGCGGAAGTCTAGACACTTAGTCTCAATATAGCCATTTATTATAATCTTTGAATGAAATAGGGCCTAGCCCATACAACATGTTCGAAAAGGGAAAGTACATGAAAGGAACTACAACATATGAAAATCCCTTCCTCGAACCACAAGGACTCACCAAGCTGGGAAGATACTCAAGTCCAAGCTCTAGCCTCAAGAATGATCACCTCAAGAACCGAACCCTACACATGGGGAAAATGTAGGAAAAGTAGGTGTTAGTACAACAATGCACCAAGTATGATAGGCATGTATAAAAACATTGAAAACATGAAAAAATGGACATTTCATTTGAAAGTATGAAATTTATCAAGTTTAAACAACATCATAAAGAGAGTGGAAAAATATAAGTCATAAATATAGTCAACATAGTCATCATCATCTTTAAAACCTTGAAAACTCATATAAAAGCTTCTTGAGTAACCATAGTTCAAAATTCATATTGTTGTTGTTGTTGTTGTGGGAATAAGCCTTAACTGACATGCGACAATGTGAGCTATACATGGTCCCACACCGAATAGGGGTGTCTTACTTGCCTAAGGTAGAACCATACTTTAAGCTTAGGTTGATACACTAGCTAAATAACCTATGGGGACACATAGTTTATGGGATAAGTAGATTGCTACTAGAAACCCGGACTCAACTTGCGTAACAGGACTCTATCTCATGAGACATACTTTGGGAACCCGGACTCAACTAGTGTAAAAGGATCCCATTGGGAAGCTGGACTCAACTAGTGTAAAAGCTTCCATCTCATATTCAATATCTACTCGGTCCTAAGTATTAATTCCCACAGAGTACATATTAAGTCTTGAATTAATTCATATTCATGCTTAATTCATAAGATAGCTCTTAGATCATGCTTGAGAATAACCTTTCACCCTCCATGTCTACATATAAGTCAAATAGGTGAGAAAGCCTTTCAACCTTAGAACCTTCATATTGTGAGAAAATATTTCACATCATATCATATTCATTCATAAGTGTGTTTATGATAATATCCTTTCAACAACACAACAACTACATCATAATCATAGACACTTCACTCTCAAAGTGTTCTTAAAACATATACATAGATTCCATAAAAACATGCATAATTCTCATAATTTACCCTTTCAAGGTTCAAAGCTCATATCAAATCAACACATCTAAATTTCAAAATATTAGACATAGATATCATCATAATTCAAGTAACTCAATCACTAAATGCATACTTTCGTAGCATTTTTCTTTCATGAACAAAGTAACATCACAAATTACAATTGAGTAATATGGGGATTTCATGGGTTCTTGGGGATTCATCACAAAAACCATAGGAAATCATAAATTTGTACTTAATATAACATAATTCGATCATTAGAATTGATTTTGAAAGGAACCCATGACTTTGGAATCAAACCATAACTTTTGGGGATTTCTATCTTTGAAATTGGGATTTTGAAGGGACTCCATGGATGAAGGCTATCCATAGATGAAAGACTAACATACCTTGATCACAAAGCCCTATTAATTTGGTGTGAAAAACCTTTCTTCTTGAACCCTAGCTTCACTCCTTCTTCTTCTTCTTCTTCTTCTTCTTCTTCTTCTGCTTCTTCTTTGAGTTTTCTAGAGAGAGAATTTTTTAGAGGAGAGCTTTTGGGAATTAATTTGGTTTTTGGAAATAATGAGATGAATAGGTTGGTTTTTGAGTAAATATGACTTATATAGTGACCCTAAGTTAAGGAAAAATGATCTCACTTAAGTTGGACTAAAACTGGAATGACCCAAAACACCCTTCATTTTAAGTGAGCTGCCAGGTCTTACGTGGGGCCCCACGAGCCGCGGTTATGACCACGAGCCGTGGTCTCCTTTGTGGACTTGAGGCAGTGGCTAGGTGTCACAACCCAGGGGTACACCCTAGATGTAACATGGAACATAGAACCTCGAAGGACTCCATGTAAGCCACTCAGCATATCATAACATAAGATAAAAGAAAAGTGTGGAAATTTAAAAATATTTTTCATAACAATCGAAGTCTCATAAAACGAAGTGGAAGTCTTTAACACTTTGTCTCAAACCATCTAAAACAACTTTGAATAACACTTGGGACACAGCCCATACAATAGTCTAAAACATAAATGAAAGACATAAATTAAAGGTGATCAAATCCTCGATGCTATGAGGACTCACCAAGTCTTCAACTCCTTGCTTCTACTAAGAACCTAGCCATGAGAATGGAACTCAAGATCGCCGGACCCTACATTTGATAAGAATGTAGGTAAGAGTATGCGTTAGTACAAAATGTAATAAATATGATAGCTAGCATAATACCATAAGAGCATAACATAAGGGTTAGTAAACATAAGATATATACCATAATCATAAGAGATACGTTATAAAACCTAAATTATAAGCATAAGAGACACCAACATAGTCATAGGCATAATCTCCAACGTAGGCATTATACAAGAATTTTTCAACCCTTAGTCCTTCATATCATAAGATAACTACTTCTCAAGTAACCTCAAAGCATACTTGTGCAATGCATGAATAAGACCCCATAATCTCATCCATACTAAATACCACTTCTAGGTTATCATAAACATACTTACCATCTTTTGATCTCACCCTTAGCTTAATTCTCATAGACAAGGGAACCTTCACCTTTAGTCCAACATATCATGGAAGGCAACTATAGCAACAATCCAAGATAAGCATACAACGTATAAGAGAAGACTTCATAAGTAGCTTCAAGTAATACTTGTGCAATGCATGGGTAATACCCCATAATCCCACCCATACTAAGTACCACGTTAGGCAATCATACATAAATGATTTTTATTCGTCATTTCTAGGCTACCAAGGAATAGCATCATACTAGGCTAGACCAAGCTAATCATCTAGAAAACATAACTACATTATGCTAAGCCAAGCTATCATGGAAAGCGTACTATTATGCAAGTTCAAGTTATTCGAGGAAGGATACTATTGCTCCATCCAAGCTACCATGAATTGATTTGGCCTAACCAAGTCATGCTACCATGCAAGTATTCTATGATACTAGTGTAAGCTACCCTTAGGAAGAGTATGATTTCTCAATCCAAGGCTACCATGAGGTCTTATACTCAAGCTACCATGAAATGGTCTTATCTTACCAAGTTAAGCTATTCATCAAAGGATCTTATGTCACAACTTCAAACTATTCTAGTCTAATATGCTTGATTCATTTTAGGTGAGCAAACCTTTCAACCTAGAATCATTCTATGTGAGAAAACCTTTCACATCATGTTCATTATGTGTTCATGAGAATAGCCTTTCAATCAACACATCTACGCATCATAATCATAGCCACTTCACTCTCAAAGTGTCCATAAAGTATTTACATAGGTTTTATAAGAACATGCATAATCTCATACTTTCATAATCTAGGCTATGTGGGTAAAGTCCTTCCACTATAATTCTATCTAGTAGTCTTCCATTATCATATAAGCTTCACTCTTTAAAGCCCTAACATACATAATTCATCATATTGGCTTTACTTTCATAACCCTAGTAATCAATATTAATGACTAAAATCCTTACTCTCAAAGCTTTACTTCTTGCAATCACAGTACCTACCTAGATTATAAGGCATTCTAATCACATGCTTCATTCTTAAGTGATTCTAGTCATATATCATCATAAGGTTCAATCTCAAGCCTTACTAGTCATATTCATCACATAAATTCAATTCATGTCTATATTCTTTTATTCTTGAACAATTACTATACATGTCATCAATTCTAGAAGATCATGTATGAATCCTCAATTTCCCTTCACAAGGCATAATCCCACATTTCTTCAATTTCATCAATTAGATTACAGTTAACCATGGAAAACATGTAATTTCATCATAATAACATGATTCACTACTAATTCAATCATAAACAATCAATATCCACTCAATTGGATCCATATTAAACTTAACCCACAATATTGCAAGGAACCCTAACTTGAATTGGGGATTTCATATTCACAATTATGGAATAACTA